TTTGCTCTTTTCCTAAAGGAATGTGGAATCGTCCCACAGTACACCATGCCGGGTACACCTAGTATGAATGGTGTAGCTGAAAGACGAAATAGAACATTGAAAGATATGGTGAGGAGTATGATTAGTCATTCTTCATTACCAGAATCACTTTGGGGAGAGGCTTTGAAAACAACAACATATATTCTCAATAGGGTGCCAACTAAAGCTACTGCTAAAACACCTTATGAACTTTGGACCGGGCGAAAGCGTAGTCTAAATCATTTTCATATTTGGGGATGTCCAGCTGAGGCTAGGCCTTATAGACCGAATGAAAAGAAATTGGACTCCAAAACCATTAGCAGTTACTTTATTGGATACCCAGAAAAATCAAGGGGTTTTAAGTTTTATGATCCTACTGGGAGATCTATACTTGAGATGGGAAATGCGGTATTTTTTTAGGATGTTGAGTTTGAGGGGAGAAATAAGGTTAGAGATATTACCTTTGAGGAGGAATCGTTTTCGATGCCTACTATTACTTCTGACAATATGCAGGTCTCTATTCCTGCAATTAGTCAAGAAGTAGATTTAGAACCTCAACAGGATAATATTGAAAATCTTCCAACTCAAACTGGTTCAGTTATTCAGGATGAACAAACTCAACAACCTCAAGAACTTGTGCCATTAAGGAGATCCACTAGAGATAGAAGGATGCTATTTCAGATGATTATATAGTATTTCTTCAAGAAAATGAAGAAAATAATGGTTTGAAAGAAAGTGATCCAATCAATTTTCGTCAAGCCATGCAAGATTCAAATTCTCAAAAGTGGATAAATGCCATGAATGAAGAGTATAAGTCGATGCAAGACAATCAAGTTTGAGATCTTGTCCCATTACCTGCAGGTGCGAAACCCATTGGTTGCAAATGGATATTTAAAACTAAAAGGGATTCAAAGGGTAATGTGGAAAGATATAAGGCTCGTCTTGTAGCAACAGGCTTTACTCAAAAGGAAAGGCATTGATTATAAAGAGACTTTCTCTCCGGTTTCTTCGAAAGACTCTTTTAGGATACTTATGGCATTAGTGGCACATTTTGATCTTGAGTTACATCAGATGGATGTCAAAACAGCGTTTCTAAATGGTGACATTGATGAAACAATCTATATGGTGCAACCGGAAAACTTTGTTTCTGGAGATCCAAAGACTATGGTTTGCAAACTAAAGAAATCTATCTATGGACTCAAACAAGCATCTCGTCAGTGGTACCATAAATTTCATCAGGTAGTAATCTCGTTTGGTTTTGAGACGAACCCTGTTGATAATTGTGTGTATCATAAATTCAGTGGGAGTAAATGTATTTTTCTGGTTTTGTATGTGGATGACATTTTGCTTGCCACAAATGATTTAGGAATCTTGCACGATACCAAGAAATTTCTATCAAAGAAATTTGAAATGAAAGATCTTGGGGAACCCTCTTTTGTATTAGGAATCCAAATTATTCGGGATCATTTTCGAGGTACTCTTGGATTATCACAAAAGAGCTATATAGAAAAAGTGTTGCAAAGATTCGGCATGCAAAATTGCAAACCAGGAGAAACCCCTATTGCCAAAGGAGACAAATATAGTCTAAGTCAGTGTCCGAAAACCGATCTGGAAATTAAAGAAATGCAGAACATACCTTATGCTTCGGCTATTGGAAGTTTGATGTATGCTCAGGTCTGTACAAGACCTGATATATCTTTTGTTGTTGGTATGTTGGGCAGATATTTAAGTAACCCTGGTATAGATCATTGGAAAGCAGCCAAACGGGTCATGAGATACTTACAGAGAACTAAGGATTACATGCTCACTTATAGAAAATCAGATCAATTGGAGATCATCGGGTACAGTGGTTCTGATTTTGCTGGATGTCAAGATAGCAGGAGATCCACTTCAGGCTACATTTATTTATTGGCTGGAGGAGCCATCTCATGGAGAAGTGCTAAACAGACACTCGTAGCATCTTCTACCATGGCAGCTGAATTTGTAGCATGTTATGAGGCATCCAATCATGGAATATGGTTACGTAATTTTGTCACTGGGTTGCACATTATTGAGAACGTAGAAAGACCACTAAAATTGTATTGTGACAATAATTCAGCAGTACTGTATTCCAACAACAATAGGAGCTCAACCAAGTCAAAGTATATCGACATAAAGTTCCTAGTTGTAAAAGAAAGAGTACAGAGTGGACAAATTTGTATAGAACATATTGGGACAGACTCAATGATTGCGGATCCGCTTACCAAAGGTCTAATACCCAAGGCCTTTCATGAACATATTGTTCGAATGGGTGTGACACAATTTCAGGATATTAGTTTTAGTGGGAGTCTGTATTAATTGTTCTATTACATATTGTATTTGTGTGTTTGGATATTTCTAATCAGATATAAAGTATTCAGTTTAGTATACTCTGTAATTTTAGTTTTGTATTGATCTCACTAAGGAATAAAGTGGCCAGTTGAAAATAGGCATGAAAGATCACATCATATGTAATTTTCATGCTACACTTCCATGATTGATCTATGTCATTTAGTTGTATTGATATATGTGATTATTGATGGGCTGATTCATTCTTGAAATGATGAATGTCTCTTTAGTCCTATGTCATTACAGTTAATGGACGAGATTGGTAAAGGATACTCTTGTTTATGACAACAAATTTTGAGCTCATAAAGTAATACACATTTGTTTGGTTGCATATGTAGTCCAAGTGGGAGATTGTTAGAAATATTTAATTTGGACAACATATGTAAATTAAATGTGTATAGTTGTCATAATATAATTCAATTATAGTGATCTACTATATTTGTTATTTTGAATAAAGAGAGTATCAAATTATTGTGGATTTAAAAGTGTAGATACCATTATGAGATTTTTGGTTTGTTGAGGAACCAAACTAAAAATTAAAATTTTTTACTTACCTGGTAGTGGCCCCAAACGACGTAAATAAATTGGCAGATTTTTGAACATGTGCCTTTTCCCTTAAAAGGCACCATACTGCAGTATAAAGATATATATACGGATACAAACATATATACATCGTATGTTAAAAAATACACACATATATCTGCAAAATATATCTGCCGTAAGGAACGATCGTTTGGAAGTCCTCATCAGTCTAATATACAGTAACACAAAAGCAGTCCAGGAGAAGAGAAAAATTCCTAAATAATTAGGTACGCTTCCGCTCTTTTGTTTGTTTGATTCTCAATGATTGAACATGAATGATTTTGGGATTAAATTAAATCAACAGAGGAGGGATGACGATGTCGACGACAGCGGCTGTGTCGCGACGAAGGCTCGCTCGTCTTGTTAATGGCGTGTCCGGCAGCGGGTTTGCGGCGGGGCTGCGGCTGGTTCTCGGGCGGCAGAGCTGCGGCTGATTCTCGGGCAGAGGAGAGATGCGAGCGGCGACGGAACACGACACCGTACTGCGGCGGGACTACCACGGTGGTCGGAGCAATGGCCCGACCGGACTGTGCGTGTGTTTGTGTGTTTTCTATGTGCGTGTTTAGGTGTTCGTGTGTGTGTGTGAGAGAGAGAAGAATGTGTGTGTTTGGTCTGTGTGGGTGCGTGTTGTACGTGTGTGTTTGAGAGAGAAAGATAAATGAGGGAGGTGATGGGTTTGTTGGTGGTGGGTCCCACTTAAATGTATTGATATAATCTCTAAGGCGTGCTTGTTTACAAATTATTTCATTCTCATCCAATTCATACTCAAAATCTAACTCAACTTTAACCTAAACCACTATCTTTAGTATTATTCATATAATTAAATTATACAAACCAATCATTCTTACACATCACATCAACTTTAATTCACTATTTATCCACTCACATAATTTTAACTACCTATCATTTTCAATCATTTTCAATCATTTATCTCCTACTTTTACATCAAATCAATTTTAATTATTTTATTTTAAATATTATTTTAATACATTCTTAAAATTTCACTAACAACTAACCATACCATCTTTTTCAAAATTAACTATAGTTAATCAAAATAACTCATTTTGAACAAATTATTCCATAAACAAACGCCCCCTAAATTACTCTTAATGAATTTACAATGGTGTATTTTTTATGACCATTAGATCATCCGATCTTATGACTACCATTTATTCTTATTTCTTTCACTAAGCACTATTTTCATGTGAACGCGACCCTATATATATATAAATAAAATGAGACCCTCGGATCTCCAACAGTCAAAAGCTATTACAGCATCTCCAATGCTATGGTTTTTAAAGACAATAATTTGTAACACATGTCAATTAATTATTGTAATGTTAATCCACATATGAATAATGTTAAAAGACTAAAAATTTGAATCAAACCAGTATCTCCAATGCATCAATTTGATAAGAATTTATTTGCATAGGTGGACCAATTTTAACAATTCATTAATACAAGAATAATAAAAAATTAAACCAAATATAAAGTCAATTAATGAAGCATCATGTTTAACATGGTGTTAGATATTAGAAAGTGGGTTCAACATTGTCAACATTAAATGTCATCCACATCATCATGAAAGAGCTAATGACAAGATACATTGGAGAATAAATTAGTAAAAAACTTTCAAAAGTTGATGATATAGATAATTTTTTGCAATGTCAAAAGTCACATTAGAGATGTTCTTAACGGCTAGAATTTTTCGGGCTGCCAACAGTCCTGGCCAGACCCGGCCCGATCCGAGGCAAAAAAAATTATATATGAGACTCGAAACCGGTTCGGTCAAACTACGACTTTGGGCTTGGGCTCGTTGAGACGTTGACCACGGGCCGATTGGTTCGGGTCGGACCGGTGGGTCGAGCCGGCCCGTAGCCATGACTAGGTGGCTCAGCCCTTGCATCGGCCGCTGTTCACTCTTGATGAAATTAACAAAATTGTTCTTACAAGATTATACATAACCGAAGGAAGATATATCTTCCGTTTCTTCTCAGCTTTTTTATTTTTATTTATTTGTTTGGGGAAGATAGGCATTTTCTTGTACTCAACGAAATTGTCCAAAGAAATGAGAGGCCACAGGGACCCATTTATCAAAGCCTTTAACTTGACACAAGAAGACTTCTTGTTATCCAATCCTGCAAGCCACACCAGCAATAGCAAAGTTAAACAAAGACTTCTTGTTATCCAGTCCTGCAAGCCATGACAATCTAACTGCTCATGTTGCACATTAAAAATATCTTCACTACCTAATCTTATATTATCATATCACAAATAATGAAACTAGTCATAAATTTATCTGAGTATTTTCCAGCATACCCTCGAATTTTAATTTATTATTGGGAAAACATAACAATTATTTCAATTTGTCCCGACTAGTCCACAAATATATGTTAAATTCTCAACTCAACTAAACAAATAGAAACTATTTTCACAATCATCAACTATCATGCATCCACACCTTATAAAACCCGTGTCAGGCCACTATGATGCGTGATTACATTATTTTTCTTAACAAGAATGAATAATTTTACAATGTAGTAGCAGTAATACTGTACTTTTAAAATGTAAAAGTGTCTAACATGTTTGAGAAGTTGATAACTGCACAGTAAAAAAATGATAAGTTACTAAAAAGTAGGATTATAATTGGAAGTTCGTACAGCATTGACCTTCTCGCATGAATAGATCATGTCATATTAAATTAGCGTTCACGGGGATATAAAAAAGAAAGGTCAACTTGAAACGATATCATGCAATTATATTGAATAGGCAGTTGCGCCTCTTTGCCGAATAAACATTAGATTTTATGAATTTTAATATACTTTAGAAAAATTTGGGTCTTAAAGCATGTATAGATGAATATGAATTTATGTTTCTTTAACTCTCTTAGGATAAGATTTTGAATTTCCATTACTTAAGAATAGTGTAGTTTTACATTGTTGATGTCATGTTGGTTTCATGAGGCATTTGTTAAACAGAGTAAACCGAAGAGAAAACGGCGGGAAATAGGGGTAGATAAACTTATTGACCGAGATAAGGAGGGAAATTTTTTTATTTTGGGCTTTTATTTACATGAATATACCACATATTTTGTTATCAAATTCTATATACCCAAAGTTGAAAGAAACTAAGAAAGGGTGTAGCCGAATGAAACAAAATTAGAACAACAAACAAGACAAAGCTGTGGAGGAAAAGGAACAACAGAAAGATAAACTTTATAACCGACTTTCCAAGAAAATAAAAGCAAAGCAAAAAGTGACGCAACTTTACCGTTTTCTTTCCTCTATTCCAGATGACCAAAAACGTGCACCCAAAGCTCAATTTATGTCCCCGCTAAGTATAAATCTAAAAGCTACTAACTATCATCTAATTCACTTCATAAATAAAAATAAAACCTATGTCCGAATCTCATCCAACAATAGCAGAGCTCAAGCAAAACTTGGCATTCTAATTATTTTTTCAACATTCTTGAAAGTATCTGTTTTCATGCTCCTGAAGCCAAGCTCACTTTCTCTAAAGCTCCAAGAACCATTCTCTTCTTTTCTTAAATACAAACATACCTACTAAACCATTGTTCTCCAACACATTCAAAAGCCAATAAAAACTCACCTCAATAATTTTTTTCTCAAACAAAACCACAGGTCCACAACCAACACCAACACACCTTCTCAGGCAAAATTTCCTCTACTTTTCACGTCGTCCTTCAATTTGTAGCTAATTCTCTCCCATTCACAAGTCATTTTCTCTGCATATGCTAAAATCCCTTTCCATATTTTCACACTTCAAAAGACAATCAAATGCCTGGCGAGGCGTCAAATTCGGAAACTGAATCCACCATCCGCCTCCAAATTTCCGACCTCAAAACCAAACTCGATGGCACCCGCAGCATCAACAGCAGCCCTACCATTTTCGAGCCCCAAACCTCTGCCATTGACGCGAAACCCAGCAGCACTCTAGACGAGACGCCTGTCCTAAGGCCACCCATAAAAGCCCCCGAAAAAAAACTAACCCTTTTCGCCCTCCGCCTCGCCATTCTCGAAAAATCAGCTTCCGGGATAGGCACCCTCGGATTCATATGGGCCACGGTTGTCCTACTTGGCGGTTTCGCCATAACGCTCTCGAAAACCGACTTCTGGTTCATAACCGTCATCCTCCTAATCGAGGGTACCCGGATTTTCAGTCGTAGCCATGAGCTCGAGTGGCAGCATCAGGCCACCTGGTCAATAACCGATGTTGGTATCAATAGCTTCCGGGCACTCAAAACCAGCTCCAATTTCATAGTTACAAAGGTTAAATCCGTTTTCAAGACAAAAAACGGCAGTAGAAAGATCTCAAGGGCGGGAAACTTTTCCAGCCGAAAAAAGTGGGACGAGCGAAGAACACCCACGAGGATTTGGACGAGCTCCGAGGTCCCTCTCTTGCCTTACGCAAAATGGGTCTTTATTTCGAAAAACGTGAGCAAGCTTCTATACTGGCTCCAACTAGCATCGGCCACGGCTTGCGTGGTTTTATCCCTAATAAAGCTTGTTAGGCGAGATTTTGGGGAGGTGGAAAAGGGAGACACAGACAAAAGGAACAGGAAATCAGCCCTCTTCATATTCTACTCGCTGGCCCTGGCCGAGGCACTGCTTTTCCTCTTAGAGAAGGCTTATTGGGAGTGGAAGGTGAGTTCCGAGAAACTTCTCGAGTCTGTCAGCAGAGACTGTGAACTGGGGGAGTCTGGCTTGATTTCCATACGAAGGTTCTTTTACGATGCCTACTCGAAATGCGTGAACGGGAGCATATTCGATGGCCTGAAGATGGATATGGTCCAATTCGGGATGGAACTCCTGGGTTCGGGCTCACCCGACGAGCAGCTGATTGGGGCCCGCATTCTGAGGCAGTTCTCGGGAAGCCCGAGGTTCTCGGATGACACCCTTCAGAAGATTGGGATCAGCTTGCCTGTTATGGAGCGGCTGGTCGAGATGCTCAACTGGAATGACCCCCAAGAAAAGGAGATCCGGTACTCGGCCGCCGAGATTCTGTCCAGACTGGCCGGGAAAACTCAGAATTCGTCCCGCATAGCTGGGATCCCGGGGGCACTAGAGTCGATTTCGTCCCTGCTTCACGATGGCCGGGCTCACAGCGGCGCTTGCGACCATATATCGGATAAGAAGACAATTGTAGACAACGAAAACTATGGTTCGTGGGCTTTCAACCACATCGGGCTTCAGATCCTGAAGAAATTGGCCCGCGACCACGACATTTGCGGGAAAATCGGGAACACGAAAGGCCTATTGCCGAAAATAGTCGATTTCACGCACGCGGACGAGAGATTGCTGACTCACCCGACGGCGGCGCCGTCTCAGGTGGCTACCGTCAAACGGTCGCTGCAGGTTCTGAGGATGCTGGCGGGCACCGCGGGCCACGCGGGCAAGCAGCTGAGGAAGGAGATATCGGAGATAGTTTTCACGGTGGGAAACATTAGGGATATATTGAAGTACGGCGGGAAGCAGCCGGAGCTACAGATGCTGGGGATCGAGATCCTGACGAGCCTGGCCATTGAGGAGGAGGCAACGGAGAGGATAGGTGGGACCGGAGGCGTGATCAAGGTGCTGTTCGGAATTTTCTTTGACGATGGGATTCCGGAGGATTGGGGCCGGGTTCGGGCCGGCGCAGGGGAGGCTCTGGCTATGCTGGCTTTGGAGAGTAGGAGCACTTGTGCGAGGATGCTTAGGATGGGGTTCAGTGAGAGGCTGATTAGGGCTCTGAAAGTTCCATTGCTGAGGATTAATGGTGCTAGGGTTTTGAGGAACTTGTGTGCCTATGGTGGGGACGATTGCTACCAGGAGCTCAAGGGATTAACAGCCGCTGCACCTGTAGTAAGTATTATTTGCAATATTAAACTTTTTTATGATTAATTGCGGAAAGGCCCCATTACTTTTTGAAATTGCAAAAAGTGACAGCTCCTCACCTGCAGATTCTTGAAGTCATAATGAAAGAAGAGCACAAACTGCAGGAAGTAATGATTGGTGCAGGGGCAGGCATTTTCAGGTTCATGAGTCCACACAACTCGAAAAACATGTTCAGAGAGGCAGGGCTCAGTGAATTCGATTTAGCTCATCGGCTTTTTATGATCCTAAAGAAATATCGCCACCCGTCAACCAAAGTCCCGAGCATAAGAAGGTACACTATAGAGCTGGCAATCTGGATGATGAAAAATGACGAGACAAATGTACGGGTTTTCAGGAGTCTGGGCATGAAGGAAGAGCTCGAGTGTGTTGTGGAGACTACAACTGAGCTGGAGAGCTTCAATATATTCTCAGGGACTGTTGGGCTTTACAGGCACAAAATGCCTATGCATTCACTTGTTGGAATAGCAATGGGGTTATTGGAACATGAGAGAAGTTAGGGTTGAGCCAAGATAGATTTTGTTAGGCAAGAATGTTTGGGGATTTCTTTTTTAACACATGGAAGCATACAAATAGTACGGTTTTACTATGAAACCAACAGTTAGTTCTATAGTGGAGCCAACTTTCTATATACAACAAATAAACCTACTATATTAATAAAATTATATTAATGTTATTTAAGTAATCAGAGAATATGGTAGGTTTATTTGTTATATATAGAAGGTTGACTCTATTATGGAGCCAACTGTTGGCTTCATAGCAAAACCGCAAATAGTATACTATTCTTTACTTTTCCCTTCTCTTTTTAGTTCTTACACTTCATTTTATATTTGGGATATTTATGTACAGTTTGAGAATGCATGGAATTTCTCCACATGTTATACTTAATGAATATTGATTATGCTTTATTATTTGGATTCCTCGATCCTTCATATGAAATGTTTTATCGAATGATGGACAAAAAAAGTTGTATGAAGTAGGAAAAGTGTTCCGCAAAAATGAGCCAAAAATAGATTTGATTGGATACAAATTGTACAGTAAAAAAACCAATCAAAACTCAAATTTAACTCAACTTTAACTCAACTCCACTATCTTCAATATTATCAATATAATTAAATAATATCAATCAATCATTCTTACACATCACATCAACTTTAATTCACTATTCATCTACTCACATAATTTTAACTAACTATCACTTCCAATCATTTTCTCCTACTTTTACATCAAATCAACTTTAATTATTTTATTTTAAATATTATTTTAATATATCCACTAACAACTAACTATACCACCTTTTTCCAAACTTAACTATAGTTACAAAATAACAAGTTTTTTACTAGTTGAATTCATATCCAATCACCCCTTAGTAGTTCTATTTTATTAATTTTAGGGTTCTATTTTCAAGTTTGTATTTTTTTTTCTAAGGTTATTTGTTTCGTTAGTTTTGGTGACATTTACTAGACTTGGTACTTGTGAGGATTAGCTCTGTGCGTTGGTAATATTAGCTTGGCTGGTCTTGCAACATTCTGCAATGTGGTTGCTCGTACCAAATAAGGTATTAGCAATTGTTCACTATATATGTCAATTCCACGGATAATGACTAGGGATGATGAATCGTGTTGTCGTGTCGTGTTAGTTATTCACTATCGTACTTTCGTGTTACATATTTTAATTGACGGGAAATATGACAATAAATTCAAAGTTAATTAAAGTCGTGTTATGCCTATCGTATTATTTATTTCTGTAATTGTGTTTTTTAAAATCGTGTTGTATCGTGTCATCCATTGATACCCTAAAAATAATCGGAGGCACTTCTTAGCTTTATTTCCGTGTTTTCAAAACCCCAATATACATGGATTTAGATAGAGATGGCCACGGGCCGAACCGGCCCGCAACCCGAACCACAAACCGACACCGAACCAACCCGGACCGTCCCGTAACCGGCCATATAAGGGCCGGTACGTAGGACTGAACCGCAAGGGCCGCGGTTCGGTCCAGGTTAAAAAAAAAAAAAAAATTTGTACCGGCGGTCCGGGCCGGGCCGGGTCGGGCCACGGGCGGACCGCCGGCAACGGTTATGTCCCATTTTAAT